TCTATGACCCATTCACTTCACAATTATGCTTTATTTTTTTAATACCATTTTGCTTTTATTTTTATTGTAAAGCAATTTCAAGACATCTGTATTATATATTTAGGCTATATATATATATATATATATATATATATATATATATATATATATATATATATATATATATTACATTAAAAGAGAATATGAATTAAGCACTATCTTTATATAAATTAAAGATGGTAATGAAATTACGGGCCGTGACGTTGCAGTTTCGTTGCCAGTAAGTCATAAAATTACCAAGTTATTACGATTAGAGTACGTATCTGCGACGTTGTTGGTTATTTTATAACCTTAGGAGGACGTACTGACGACGTTGTGGTTTGGTCATATGATGGTAATGAAATTACGGGCATGCGACGTTGTAGTTACGTTGCCAGTAAGTCATAAAATTACCAAGTAATTACGATTAGAGTACGTATCTGCGACGTTGTTGGTTATCTTATAACCTTAGGAGACCGTACTGACGACGTTGTCAGTTGGTAATTTGATGGTAATAAAATTACAGACATGCGACGTCGAGACTACGTTGTCAGTTGGTAAGTCATGAAATTACCAAAAAGTACGAATAGATTACGTAACTGCGACGTCGTGTGTTAGCTGGGTATAGTTCATACAACGAGCAGTGAAATGTAAGTCTGGTATTCCTATAGACTCACTGTGTAATATAAACATACCCTAAATATTATTTAAAAGATGCAACAATTTTAAATATTTTTAAATACTTGCAAAAATAACCTTGCTTGTGTCATTGTCAATAATTCCGCCCCTCCCTCACTTCCGGTTCTGGCACTGGGGTTCTGGCGCTGGGGTTCTGAAACTGGTGGTGCTGCGGGTCTGCAGCTGGATATATCTCGTAAAATCAGCAATATGCACTCCTCTTCAGTTGCCATTTTGATCTGAATTTTACGTGACCCGACTCTAGACTCTACTACCCCCTGCTGCGCAATCGGTGTATTGCATTTCACGCATCGCCGGTGACGCTTGTGTACTATGAAAAGGAGCGCGTAGCTCGCGTCGCTCGCGTTGCTCGCGTTGACTATGTAACGGCCTATTTGTGCATTCACGCGTTTGACGCGAATTCGCGTCTGCCGCCCAAGTTGAAAAATTTGAACTTCTGCGTCAATTCGCGCCGCGTTAACCAATCAGGAGCCTGCTTGCTGCTGTCACGTGGTGAAGTGAAAGTTTGTTATTTTAATAAATTATTTTGTAATATTACTAAAATGTCTGGTTTGGTTCTAATGCACAACAAAGCAAATCTTTCACATAAAAACTCGATTTTAATATATGAGAGATAGTACTCATTTTGTATTGAATGCTATTTATTCCATATCTATTTTAGATTATATGAAACATTATTATTTTAATGTAAAAACAACAAACACATAGTGTATAATAAATAAAAAAATCACAGGACAGGTTTCACTTTTGGAGGCTGGCTCCATTTATTATCAAATAAATGTGCGGGCGAGGGTGAACCTCGCGCCGGGCTGTAGAGCGCGGGCTCTTCAGGCAGCGACCACTCGAGGCCGAGGCTTTACACGGCCTACGGTGTCCTCGTCAGCGTCCTCACCGTTAGGTCCACCAAACCTAGCTCCTGGAACAAATGATGAAACTCCTGAAACCCTCCGGAGGGTCTGGTGGACCCGAGTACAGCGACGATGTCCCCTACGCAGCTGTTTCTGCTCTCCAGAGCATATACGAGCGGTGACTCTCTCGAATAATGCTAATGCTCGATAAACATCTAAAAAGATGGCCGCCGACGGGTTTCGAAACTTTCGCCTCTGACGCGCGTAAATTTCGCTTCAAACTTTTGTTTTTACGCGCGTCAATTTCGCCATTGACACGCGAATTAACACAAAGTGGTCAAGCGTCAAACTAGACGCGGTAGACGCGAATTTGACGCGCTATTCGCGTCCGGTTTGAACGTAGCATAAGAGAGACTTAGGGCCCTATCTTGCACCCGACGCAAATGACTTTGTACACTGACGCATGTATCATTCCTATTTTGCACCCGCGCAAAGCAGACTTTTCCCTCCACGGACGCACGTCGGTTAACTAAGAAATACACTTGCCATGTATTACATGAACCATGGCGGTTCAGCGCAAAGAGGAGGCGTGTTCCGGCGCAAACTTTCCCTCATGCTATTTTGCTGTTCTATAAAACAATTGCGCCACTGACCAGAAAAAAAGTAGTCTAAAGTCAGTAGCGCGTTGCGCGTTGTTCTTTATGCTATTTTAAGGGCACGTGCTTGGCCATAATCAATGTAGCGTGTCCACAACGCGCATACACTTTGATTCTCTCATCTAAGCAGCAGTTTTCATTTTTGCAAATCATACATTATTACGATAGATAGATAGATAGATAGATAGATAGATAGATAGATAGATAGATAGATAGATAGATAGATAGATAGACAATTTATTATAAAAGCATACATGTAGCTTACACATTTACCCAAATTATACGCCTGTTTAACAGAAGTTAATTTGGGTGGGTTTCTCCATCCCCAATGTCACTTCTCTGTGTTTTACGGCCCTGACAAGAACGTTGCTCTCCTCGGCTGTGAACCGCTCCTGGCGCGCGCCTGGCAAATCCGCCGTTATAATAGGAATCCGCTTTAGAACAAGCGCACCTGGGGCATGTTCAAGATCACAACGGTGCGCAACGTTTTGCTACGGTTTCCGGGTTGAACGTCATGTTTCCTGGAAACGGCGTGCACCGGTGTGCAACGTGGTTTGAGATGCGTTTTCTCTTGTTTGGTGGGCGTGTCAGAACTGCAGTCCAATCAGCAGCAACATGTATATAAAGCACACGGTATTAAAGAGAACTCGCACAATGGAAGTAATTTACAAATGTGTTCGATACGCAACAACTGAGGATATCAGAAGACATGTTTGTCATCAGTATTATTGTCAAAATATAGGATATCAACATAATGATGTAGTTGTTTATATTTTTAGCTTCATTGCACAGATCTCATGAAATGGCGTATGTATGACACGCCAATTCGTATTTCCATTTTTGGCGTGCTATCAACACGCATAATCGCTTTTCAGCGTGTTTATCAACGCCTTTGACTTAACGTTATATTACTGTATTATGTATAGATATATGACCTACCCCAACCCCGTCCCTAAACCTACCCGTCACTGGGGTTAATACCATTTATGAGTGTTCTCCTACCATCCTAGGAAAAGAAATATCGCTCCACAGATGTAGATATAGATTTTGCTTCGTTTCGCTCGGACATTTAACGGCGTACACATACACGCGGAATCACTCGGACATTTAATGGCGTAGACATACACGCAAAAGATTTCGGTGTGAACATACACGCGGATAGCTCAAAATGCGTATAGATAACACGCCACTTGACTTGAAAGTGGCGTGTATGTTTACGCAAAGTCATGATGTCATGTTGCATTGCAAGTGTGTGACATTTGGTATAGAAATAAACAATGCATGTAAAGTGCTTTTCCTAAAAATGAGAAAGAAAATACAGGGTATTAATAAAACATTATGAACAACAAGAATGCGAGGCTAAATAGATGTGTTTTAGTCTTTATTAGGTAAGATGTGCTTCCATTTCAGTTTCCACAAATCCCTTCACTCGACTGGGATGTTCTCTTGTGTTCTGGGCGGCAAGTGCAGTAACTGTAACATCGGGCATATTTTGTAGTATTAAACACATATTTATACCGACTTCATCAGGCTCCGAAAATTCTTCACAAAGAACACAAAAAGCCTTCTCAGCTGCCGTAGTTGCAACTCTTGCGTCATCACAACAGTGCGTTCAACGCATCACCGTTTCTGTTTAAAAAACGTTCTGCAACGTTTTGTCGGCGCTGAACGCAGCCCTGCTCTTAAAGGGAATGTGAGATGACGCTCTGATTGGTTTATTTCACGTTACGCCCAAACCACACCTATGAATAATGAAGCTACTTCAGACCAACCCCTTTTAGATTTGCGCCAGGCGCAAGATGCATTTATCCCTCCGGGAAAATAGCAACAGCGCCGGGATCCGCCCACAAAGTTACTTGCTTTGCGCTTTGACACTTGCGTTTCAGATCTTTAAAATAGGGCTCATAAACTTTTTAGTCGAAGTTTGTCAAGAAACACTGCCCGAAAATCCCACCTTTGTCTAAGAGAGACTTAAACTTTTTAGTCGAAGTTTGCTCTGAAGCCAAATTGCATTGGATGAACTAGTATGAAATTAACTAGTATTAGATAATCAGTGATTTGCACAGCCATTCATTTCTCTGCAACCTTTGAGACTATTGGTAAAACACTAATAGGTCTGCAATTACTAACAGCACGAGAATCTCCACTTTTAGATATAGCCACTACAGCAGATGATGACTTCCAAGTGAACAGTTGATCATTTTGGTGATAGTTTTAACTAGTGACTCACTGAGCTCTTTAAGCATTACTACATCCATACCAAATATATCCTTTGCTCTGGATGGTTTAAGAGATGTAATGTTAAAAAAATGTCTAATTCATTGATTGCTTATGCTTTTTCCACTGTATTAGCTAGATACACTAATGTAAAAAAAAAAAAGTTTCTAATTTGAATAAAAACTACTATTTGAAGAGGGAAGACGATAAATTACAATTAATACAAATAACCTTTGTGGTGAAAGAATAAGATTCAGACCAATACATTCCAAACCCATACAATTTGACCAAGCGATTTCATTAGACTGGAAACCAGTTTTCACATAGATCATAACTCCACCCCCCTTAGAACCAACTCTATCTTTCTTATACAGTTTAAAAGCAGGTACTTCTAATGCAGCTGACGGAGAGTTTACATGAAGCCATGTCTCAGATAAACAAAGAAAATCTAAATTAGAGTCCAGTAAAAGATGATGAATTTGATCACTTTTTAATTTGATATAATACTTTGTGTGTTCAAATGACCACCTGAGAGACCCTTTGGCTTAACTTTAGGATCCCAAATTGTTCTTGATCGATTCACTGTCCGAAAGATCCCCCGTGTTGCCAGGCTCTGAGCTCTCTGGTGTGGCGGCTTGAGTTCCCTGTCGAGTTGAAGTTGGATTTCGGGCTTCGGGTCACGTCACGAGCTCAAGCCCTCCACCAAGGACAGCAAGTATGTTATTTCCTATCCAATACAAAGATTATATGAACATGTCAACTCGTAAATGATTTTACAGCAGAATTTAATTCTGTTTGCATCACTGATTCTGTTATTTTCCTGTTTAATATCATGAAGCTGCTTTGAAACAATCTGTACTGTATAAAGCGCTATATAAATGAAGAAGACTAAACTATGACAGCAACATTAAAATGAACTCTGTTCACTCCACAAATTTGAAAATAGATAAATGATAACAACAAATGATAATAATCCTACTCTGTCCGTCTGTTACACTTCCTCACACCTGAAATCACTGATGGAGTGAATCTCCTGAACTTCTCCAATCTACAAGAAGGTCATTTTCTAATCCATTTATGTTGTAACATCTGCTCTAACGTCGGCCGTTTAGTTGGATCCTTTGTAAGGCACTGGCTAATCAGATCACTGCATTCTGTACCAATATTAATAAGAAGAGAGCTGGTTAGTCATGATGAGCATGTGACTTGGCATCTAAACATGATTAATGTAAGGTAACATGTTCTTTATCTTTACTTTAAAGGTGAAGTATGCAGTTTCTGCATCAAAAAGAGCATATGGTCTTTGCTTCACGCCTTCTCCCAACTCAAACATCACAAAGGCAACTCTTACTGGTTCAAAAAAAATCTTACATAGAGTACTTCACCTTTAACTGGTTCTGTACAGAGCCTTTGCTTTATGTGTGCGTTTATCAAAGATATCAATATTATTCACTCACCTTTGGATAAGTTGGAGTTCCTAAATGTAACTTTGGCTTGTGTGATTTCCATTCTATTGCCAAAAGGAGAACATGCGTTCACCATCTCATATAACAACACTCCTAGAGCCCAGACATTTGTTGGGACGGCGTGGAATCTCGTATCTGTGAAGACTTCAGGTGGGCAGTAAGCCATTAATCCTGTAAGCAAGACATTTGCGCGTTGTTGAGCTTTTTTTTTTTTTTTAAAGTGTCAAATAATCAGTAAGTCACTACATTCAGGTTTCCACACTGCCAAAATGCTCACCAAGGTATATTCTGCTCTCGTAGCCGTCACTACTAAGTAGCTGACCGCAGCCAAAGTCTATCAGCTTGAGCTCTAACGTGTTTTTCTTCATCAGGAAGTTATCCGCATGAACGTCATTATGAAAAACGCCATGTTCGATGCAGTGTTGTACCGCCAGCACAGCCTGTCTCATGATGACCCGTGCCGTTGGTTCATCCAGTTCAGGGTTACGGATGATGAAGTCCAGCAAGCTCTCGCAAGGTTCGGGGTACTCCATGACGAGAGTGAATTTTCGAGGGTGTTCAAACCACTCGTACAGCTGTATGACGTAGGGGCTTCTGGGTTCTTGCCTCATCATTAGCAGCAGCGCCACTTCTGTTACGAGAGGTTCGGGATGCCCAGGCTAGAGAAAAGTAGCAGATAGAAGATTAGCTGGGTACAAATCTCATTTTTTAATGTACTTTTCTTTGACCTCTGTAGATACAGAGCCTTTTCAGCTCAAAGTTATTTGGTGCTTCTAGGCTTATTTGTCTATAACATGTACAGCTAATGCTTCCTACAGGTGTATTGACTACAGTAATCAGCACTTAAACAACTAAATACACATTCAGGTTTTCAACAACTTACAATATCAAGATAACGATTATTGTCAGTCTTGCTGATCTGCTTGATGGCAACCTACAAAAAAACAAACAAAAATTTTTTTCATTAACAGTAACAGTATTCAGGCGCCTGACCTTGCACTAGGTATTAAACCATCGGTAAATTGTATTTAAACGTGTTTTGCAAAAAAAAATTGTACAGTTCGGTAATATTTACCTTTTTGCCATCAAATTTCCGTTTTCCCTCGTACACCCTGCCAAATCCCCCGGATCCAATCATCTTTCCTACCTTGAAGAGAGACGCAAAGGACCCTGAAAAATAGAAACAATATTATAAATATATGAGCTTGCTAGATCCTTTGAATTAATAATAAAAGGTTACACTTTATTTTAAGGTGACGTACTTACATTGTACTGACTCAGATAAGTACTGGGTAATATTAATTGACTACATGTACTTACTATAGAGTTACGGTTAGGGTTAGTTACTTGTAAGTATGCATAATTTACTGTTATTACTAGATGATGTACTAACGTGTAACTACGCCACCTTAAAATAAAGTGTTACTGGTAGCACTTTATTTCACAGTCCTGTTCCCCATGTACATACTATGTACTTATTAAAGTTATTACAATAACTGGGTAATAACTAGGTACGAACCTTCACCTGAACCTAACCTTAACCCCTGTAGTTACCTTTTATGACATTAATATGGGGAGAATAATATTATTATTCTCAGAAAACAAGCCTTAAGATATTTTTAGTGGAAAAGAAGACGGCAATACTGTTTAAAATAATGATCAAGAAATAATGACTGTGGATTTACCATTATTTGGCTTGACGGCTGAGTGATCTGGATCAGGCTCTGGGTCCAGATCTGGTGGAGGGACGAAAGGCTCCACAACATCCACAGCACTGCTGTGACGACAGCAGCCGAAATGATGTTTCAGAGCCTTCCACACGCTCCTGAGGAAACCACAAATTCCTTTCCTCTCCCTATATTCTGTAGGTTTTTCTGAAATGAAGAAAAACAATTGAAAAGACAACTATTAGAAACATCTCTGACCTCAAATTAAACAATGACAAAATTACACATTTTACTGTTCGATTCGTATCTGTAATGTTACAAATCCAAGTAATGCAAATATTATACGACGGCCCTGCTTCTGCTTAATGCCTGCATAAATGTCCCAAAGTCTTATTTCACAATATTAAGCATTAACATCCAATTTTTTTTTTCAATGTTTCAAAAATGCATTTTCTTGCAAATGCAAATGTTTTTTTAATTTTTTAATTTTATAATTTTGCAAACATTTTAGCTAAATTATGCTGAGCAACGGTAAATATGACTAGAGCTTAACCTGTTAAAAACTTGAAGCAGTCTTATGCACGAAATGGCAAAATCTCTATCAGTACACTTTACACCCCCCACTCCTATTTCAATCTCACCTGTTGAGCTCTTGTTCGCAGGAGACGCCTCCACGGCACCATGAGCTGTTAGGCCATTGGAAGTCACTGTTGGCTCCAGAGGAACTTGACCTGGCAGCGGAGGACACATCATCTCTTGGAGGCTGTCGGACCTGGACAAACTCCAGTTGCCACAACTGTCCTGTCCACTTGGGCCGTCCGATCCGTCGCCACTCCACCTCCACTCAACGATGTACGTCCCTCTGCTGCTAAGACTCGATTCTCCGGCTCTCTGACTGGATCTGGAGCGGCCTGACACTGGAATATTTCAAACATCAAAAAGAGTTTTTTATTTTTTAAATAATATAAATAATCAATGTCAGTGGTCACTTGTTATAAGTATATTGTTATAATAGAAGTGGACGCACATCCACCATCTGGGCTTTGCTGGCTGCCGCTCTGCCTCTTCCTCTTCCTGTGATCCTGACCTGTGAACACAGAACCAGAAAACTCAGAAGACAGAGGAGCTAAATCATCAGAACTGAGTCTCCAAACCTCCAGACCAGCCGTCTGAGTGGAAGCAGCTCTCCTGGATCTGGAGCGGCCTGAGGCTGGAATATTTCAGACATCACATAGTTAGTAATGTTTTGATAATAATCAATGTTCAATGTCAGTGTTCAATTACAAATTGTTACTATATTACTCAAAATTGAAAGGTTTATTTCACATGCAAGGAATCAAATACATGTGATCACTGTGAAAATTGACGTATCAAATGGGTTATCTCGCACAAGTTTCTGCACATTAATTTAGTCCATCATCATACCATAACATACCATAAACAAATGAAAAACTAACGTTAGAGCGCTCACCTCCTCTTTCACTCTTGTGAGCCATCAACGTCCTCCTCCAACCTGCAATAGAAACAATACAAAATACAATACAAAAAAATTACACAGTACAACCCTCCTCAGAAATACTACCAAAAGAAATCAAATAAATAAATAAAAATAATAAATAAATAAAACAAAAATAATAAAATTAAATACACAATTAAATAAAACTACAAACTCCTAGTTTAACTCCCAGATAATAACAATTAACGTTAGATAAAAGCGTCCTCAGAAATAAGATGAATGTGGAAAAAAAAGGAAAGGATCCTCCGATCTAACGTTAAGTTACTCCTCCTAGAATATAATCAGTTTTCTCTCAGGAATTCTCCGAATAGCTTTAAAATCGCAAGATCTGCACAGAAAATACTCGGCAAAAGTCTCTGAATTCGCCTCGTCTCTCGAGCAACAGATAGCGATGTTTAAGTGTAAACAAACAAATTCATAACCAACACGCGTCGCTATAGCAAATAAAATTCGAATCATCATCGCACGCAGACCTGAAGAAGTCGGCATCAATTAATTTACATATACTTGCAAAACACCCCGATGTACATGCGAAAATGTCATCAAAACAAATAAAACTATCCGGACATAAATACAAAAGATGGAGTACTTGCATGCTGATGATGAGTACGTAGTGACTTTTAAAGCCAGACACGCGCGCTTCTGAAAGGCTTGTTGTGTGTGTGAGAGAGAGTCGTGTGTGGCGTAATATTTATATAGGCCTAGAGATTGTGCTTTCCGCATCCCGTGAGATTGCCTTTATGTCGAAGTGGTATTAATAGTATGGAAGCTTGCAGTGGTGGACGAAGTACACATACCATGTACTTGAGTAAAAGTAAAGATACTCAAGGTAAAATATTACTCAAGTAAAAGTAGAAGTGCTGCCTTTAAACATTCACTTGAGTAAAAGTACAAAAGTATTTGCCTTCAAATGTACTTAAGTATCCAAGTACTTTGATTTTTTTTTATGGCTATAATGTCCTATTATAATTTGTCACAAGATTCTTGCTTAACTCTGTCTAAGTGAAGACTAATGTCACTCTTGGCACACCAATCTATTAATGAAATGACATTAATTAGTCTGATATATACAGTATATATATACTGTATATATATATATATATATATATATATATATATACATAAATATATAATATACTGTGTATATATATATATATATATATATGTATATTTGAATTGAATTAATTTTTTGTGTATTTAATTTTGGAGGGAAGGGGACTGTTCCCATAAGGTATAAAACATTTACAGTATTTACTGTATATATTTTTCTCCAGCGCCTATGGTCATAATTATTAACATCTTTAATGTTATGATACACTCACATAAACCTGCACAACACCATTAAATAAATATATATATATATATATGTGTGTGTGTTTGTGTGTGTGTATATACACACATACACACACACACACATACTGTACACACACACGCACACACACACATATATTCACACACACGCGCACGCGCACGCACACACACGCACACACACATACATATTCAGTGACTTTAATTACAGTCTGTAGTGTTCAGCAGATGCCCAGAATGGAAAGGTGAAAAAATAAAATAAAAATAATAATATTGAATGAGTTAAATGAAAAATAATTACTTGTTCAAGTGTGATTCAAGTGTTAATTATTCAATCAATTCCCCTTTTGATCAATTATTTTCTGCATTGTTCAGCAGATACGCCCAATATGTCCATAGAAGACTTGGAAATGTTTGGTGCCAAAAAGGCGTATCTGACGTTTTTGACATATTTTTTTATTTTAAAATGTTTTAGAACATGTTCATTGTGTTAATATGCCATACATTTTTTACTTAAATACTCATTCATGTAAGTATGCCTGTGGTTGCAATGTTTGTGGTTTAAGGTTAATGATACAGGTGATTGAAGTGTGGTCAAAATTTTGTTTTGTCTCTCCTGTAAAGTTGGTCAAAAGCCACTTACGCCCCTCTGGCTCCAAGCCCTCTATATACAGTATATATATATATATATATATATATATATATATATATATATATTCTATGTTATGGGAGCAGCCAATTTCCCTCCAAAATTAAACACAAAAACGTATTAATGCAGTGTTTCTGCTAGGCTACTCCCCAGAAAAAAGAAAGCTATTGTATGCACGTCATTTTAGTGGCAAAAACGTAAGCAATGTACATTATGCGTCAATACTTACCGATAATTGCTGCAATAATAGCTGCTGCTCTCTGTCCCGCTTAAAATCATTGTCAACGCGATTTGTTTGGAACTATTGAGAGCTACACGAATAACGTGACCGCGCGGCGGCGAGATCACGGTCACAACCATCTATGTTCGCAACTCTCATATTTAACGGCTCTGGTTCGCGCTTAGTAGATACCGCCAAGGCAGGTTCAAAACAAAGCGCGCGTGCTGTACTGTGATTGGTGGCTCGTTTGAGTTACGTTTTTATCCACTCATAAATAAAAAGGAACGACTGATTTTGAAAATGTAGTAGAGTAAAAAGTAAGATATTTGACTTTGAAATGTAGTGGAGTTAAAGTAAAAGTCTCCCAAAATGTAAATACTTGAGTAAAGTACAGATACGCAAAAAAGCTACTTAAGTACAGTAACGAATTACATTTACTTCGTTACTGTCCACCACTGGAAGCTTGTTTCTGCCATAAAATACAATAAAATTAAAACAGGCTTCCTGTCTGTCAATCATTTCAGGGCAGTCATGTGCATGCGAAACCGGAAGCCGAGAGCGCAATAGAAGTTATGAAATTATTATCTGTCAACCACCGTAAACATAGCCAAATGTCCTAAAATAAATAAGAATACACACACACACAAAATAAAAATAAAACAGCAAGACATCGGTAAAGCTTTTTCCTCGCTGGAGGAAGCTGAGAGCGCTTGCAAACAGATGCAGAACTCGCTTAGCTTGACAGGTAAGGCTAAATATCGTTGTCACAAAGAAGTTTAGATTTGGTGGCTAAATCTGGCAAAAGTTATAAAACAGTGCTTTGCCAGGGATCCTCACTGGCCACGTACAAACTCCAGTTAAATGGATAGTTCGCCCTAAAATGAACATCAAGTCATCATTTACTCACCCTGGTGTTGTTTTAATGCTGTATGCCCTTTTTTTTCTTTTTCGAACCACAAAAAGAGAAAAAAAAGGCAGAGGGTCTACCAATCAGACACAATTATTTATTCATTATATTTTATAAATAGTCCAGCAACCCCGCCTCACCCAAGGCTCTAGTCTAATTTATTGTAGGGTTATGTTTTATAGGTTCTATGGTGCATTGAAGATTGCAGCAAGTAGATTGAGATTTTATTTCAGGAAGCAAAAAAATAGGCCTTTGCCTTTCACTTCAAACTGACAAAAAAAAAAAAAAAAAAAACTATACGACTTTGGAGCAACATAAGGGTTAATTAGTAAATGATGAAAATATATCTCTTTTTTAGAATTTTGTTTTTGGGTAGCTATTTCTTCAATTTTAAAGATTTGAAACCTGAATCTTTCTAATAATACAAGAAATCAAATGAAAAGAGGCTGACATTTTTTATTTTTTTTTATAAACATCCATGGAGAGGGCTGTCGTGCACCTAATTTTTCTATTCTTTGAAAGCATTTATTTAAAGGGATCATGTCATACTTTTTTTATAATCCCACTAAGATCCACTTAAAATGTTTGTCAAGATTTGTATTGAGCTGAATGATGACATCACTGTTTTCTGCAGAGCTGCTTTACAGCTGAATTGAACTCATTACATAATAGATTAACTTTACACAATGACTGAACTGAATCAACTATGAACTGACTGCAGCTGAATAATGACACATACTGTCTTAGAGCTGAATCTTAGAGAATTGAATTTGGTTTGCATCATTGAACATTATCCTACAGTTTATCACTGTAAAGCTGCTTTGAAACAATCTGTATTAAATAGAGATGATTGTCTTAACTTTTAAAAACAAAATGTACTTTTATTTGATTGCATTTCTGTACCTTTTATTATTAACAAGACATAGCTGCTTATACAAAGTAAGAGACCAATGATATTATATATATATATATATATATATATATATATACACACACACTAAAGTACAAATAAAGGGGAGAAAAAACAGCAACATATATAGATGTACAGATATAGTAGTGTAAAATCATACTACTATGCAAAAATTACTTTTTAAAACAAAGCAAATATGGCTGTGCTGACTTCTTTTCAGTCTTGCAGTCTCTCATGTTGACTTTATTTCACTTGTTTACAGGGGCAGTGCACATTAATGAACAACATAAATGTAAATGTGCCAGATATGCATAAAAAAGTCAATTTTTCATCTGTAGACCCTTGACAGAATGTTAAAAAGTCACCCTAAAAACCAAGCATCTACAAACACTCAAAAGAGAAAGAAGAAAAAAGAGGGGGGAAACCCCATTCACATTACCAAATTAAAAAAATACAAGTACACGATTCCACGTGGAAATCATGCTAAAATACACTAACAGAAAATTTTGTCTAAACATATTGTGCTACATAAGAGGTAAGAAAAATAGTGACAGGAGAAAGCAAATAACTCAGAGCAATTATTACAAAGAAGCTAAAATCAGAATATTAAGATACTAATGTTGACAGTGCTGAGTAGTAAGTAACCATTTTTTTTTTTTAGATGAAACTTAAAAGAACCATATGTATATTCAGTCTTCTAATTATTGATGTGATGGAGTTCCGTTCCCTTGCGCCTTTTACTGAAAATACAGAGCGACTAAATTGACTTTTTCTGAGAGGAATAATACAGTCCCCTCTTTCTCCAGCCCTTGTGGACCGATGTGCAGTTGTTCTAACGCTAACATACAGTTTTAACAGGAGAGACAGGCTATGTATAGTCTTAAACATAAGACAAACATCTACATCAGATTATCCCAATTTAGCAAATTGTCTTTTTTTTAGTATTGAGCAATGATGAAAATTAACTGATTTTTTTATCAAGAATTTTTGTGATTGTTTATACAGAGTCCAATGGTTTTAGAGTAGTGGTACCTAATAATTTAGACATAAGACTTCTGTGGTTTACAGTGTCAAAAGTGTTTATGAGGTCAAGAAACACTGCCCGAAAACCCCACCTTTGTCTAAGAGAGACTTACTTTTTAGTCGAAGTTTGCTCTGAAGCCAAATTGCATTGGATGAACTAGTATGAAATTAACTAGTATTAGATAATCAGTGATTTGCACAGCCATTCATTTCTCTGCAACCTTTGAGACTATTGGTAAAACACTAATAGGTCTGCAATTACTAACAGCACGAGAATCTCCACTTTTAGATATAGCCACTACAGCAGATGATGACTTCCAAGTGAACAGTTGATCATTTTGGTGATAGTTTTAACTAGTGACTCACTGAGCTCTTTAAGCATTACTACATCCATACCAAATATATCCTTTGCTCTGGATGGTTTAAGAGATGTAATGTTAAAAAAATGTCTAATTCATTGATTGCTTATGCTTGTTCCACTGTATTAGCTAGATACACTAATGTAAAAAAAAAAAAAGTTTCTAATTTGAATAAAAACTACTATTTGAAGAGGGAAGACGATAAATTACAATTAATACAAATAACCTTTGTGGTGATAGAATAAGATTCAGACCAATACATTCCAAACCCATACGATTTGACCAAGCGATTTCATTAGACTGGAAACCAGTTTTCACATAGATCATAACTCCACCCCCCTTAGAACCAACTCTATCTTTCTTATACAGTTTAAAAGCAGGTACTTCTAATGCAGCTGACGGAGAGTTTACATGAAGCCATGTCTCAGATAAACAAAGAAAATCTAAATTAGAGTCCAGTAAAAGATGATGAATTTGATCACTTTTTAATTTGATATAATACTTTGTGTGTTCAAATGACCACCTGAGAGACCCTTTGGCTTAACTTTAGGATCCCAAATTGTTCTTGATCGATTCACTGTCCGAAAGATCCCCCGTGTTGCCAGGCTCTGAGCTCTCTGGTGTGGCGGCTTGAGTTCCCTGTCGAGTTGAAGTTGGATTTCGGGCTTCGGGTCACGTCACGAGCTCAAGCCCTCCACCAAGGACAGCAAGTATGTTATTTCCTATCCAATACAAAGATTATATGAACATGTCAACTCATAAATGATTTTACAGCAGAATTTAATTCTGTTTGCATCACTGATTCTGTTATTTTCCTGTTTAATATCATGAAGCTGCTTTGAAACAATCTGTACTGTATAAAGCGCTATATAAATGAAGATGACTAAACTATGACAGCAACATTAAAATGAACTCTGTTCACTCCACAAATTTGAAAATAGATAAATGATAACAACAAATGATAATAATCCTACTCTGTCCGTCTGTTACACTTCCTCACACCTGAAATCACTGATGGAGTGAATCTCCTGAACTTCTCCAATCTACAAGAAGGTCATTTTCTAATCCATTTATGTTGTAACATCTGCTCTAACGTCGGCCGTTTAGTTGGATCCTTTGTAAGGCACTGGCTAATCAGATCACTGCATTCTGTACCAATATTAATAAGAAGAGAGCTGGTTAGTCATGATGAGCATGTGACTTGGCATCTAAACATGATTAATGTAAGGTAACATGTTCTTTATCTTTACTTTAAAGGTGAAGTATGCAGTTTCTGCATCAAAAAGAGCATATGGTCTTTGCTTCACGCCTTCTCCCAACTCAAACATCACAAAGGCAACTCTTACTGGTTCAAAAAAAATCTTACATAGAGTACTTCACCTTTAACTGGTTCTGTACAGAGCCTTTGCTTTATGTGTGCGTTTATCAAAGATATCAATATTATTCACTCACCTTTGGATAAGTTGGAGTTCCTAAATGTAACTTTGGCTTGTGTGATTTCCATTCTATTGCCAAAAGGAGAACATGCGTTCACCATCTCATATAACAACACTCCTAGAGTCCAGACATTTGTTGGGACGGCGTGGAATCTCGTATCTGTGAAGACTTCAGGTGGGCAGTAAGCCATTAATCCTGTAAGCAAGACATTTGCGCGTTGTTGAGCTTTTTTTTCCCCCAAAGTGTCAAATAATCAGTAAGTCACTACATTCAGGTTTCCACACTGCCAAAATGCTCACCAAGGTATATTCTGCTCTCGTAGCCGTCACTACTAAGTAGCTGACCGCAGCCAAAGTCTATCAGCTTGAGCTCTAACGTGTTTTTCTTCATCAGGAAGTTTTCCGCATGAACGTCATTATGAAAAACGCCATGTTCGATGCAGTGTTGTACCGCCAGCACAGCCTGTCTCATGATGACCCGTGCCGTTGGTTCATCCAGTTCAGGGTTACGGATGATGAAGTCCAGCAAGCTCTCGCAAGGTTCGGGGTACTCCATGACGAGAGTGAATTTTCGAGGGTGTTCAAACCACTCGTACAGCTGTATGACGTAGGGGCTTCTGGGTTCTTGCCTCATCATTAGCAGCAGCGCCACTTCTGTTACGAGAGGTTCGGGATGCCCAGGCTAGAGAAAAGTAGCAGATAGAAGATTAGCTGGGTACAAATCTCATTTTTTAATGTACTTTTCTTTGACCTCTGTAGATACAGAGCCTTTTCAGCTCAAAGTTATTTGGTGCTTCTAGGCTTATTTGTCTATAACATGTACAGCTAATGCTTCCTACAGGTGTATTGACTACAGTAATCAGCACTTAAACAACTAAATACACATTCAGGTTTTCAATAACTTACAATATCAAGATAACGATTGTTGTCAGTCTTGCTGATCTGCTTGATGGCAACCTACAAAAAAACAAACAAAATTTTTTTTCATTAACAGTAACAGTATTCAGGCGCCTGACCTTGCACTAGGTATTAAACCATCGGTAAATTGTATTTAAACGTGTTTTGCAAAAAAATGTATGTACAGTTCGGTAATATTTACCTTTTTGCCATCAAATTTCCGTTTTCCCTCGTACACCCTGCCAAATCCCCCGGATCCAATCATCTTTCCTACCTTGAAGAGAGACGCAAAGGACCCTGAAAAATAGAAACACTAATAGGTTACACTTTATTTTAAGGTGACGTACTTACATTGTACTGACTCAGATAAGTACTGGGTAATATTAATTGACTACATGTACTTACTATAGAGTTACGGTTAGGGTTAGTTACTTGTAAGTATGCATAATTTACTGTTATTACTATAGTAAGTAGATGATGTACTAACGTGTAACTACGCCACCTTAAAATAAAGTGTTACTGGTAGCACTTTATTTCACAGTCCTGTTCCCCATGTACATACTATGTACTTATTAAAGTTATTACAATAACTGGGTAATAACTAGGTACGAACCTTCACCTGAACCTAACCTTAACCCCTGTAGTTACCTTTTATGACATTAATATGGGGAGAATAATATTATTATTCTCAGAAAACAAGCCTTAAGATATTTTTAGTGGAAAACAAGACGGCAATACTGTTTAAAATAATGATCAAGAAATAATGACTGTGGATTTACCATTATTTGGCTTGACGGCTGAGTGATCTGGATCAGGCTCTGGGTCCAGATCTGGTGGAGGGACGAAAGGCTCCACAACATCCACAGCACTGCTGTGACGACAGCAGCCGAAATGATGTTTCAGAGCCTTCCACACGCTCCTGAGGAAACCACAAATTCCTTTCCTCTCCCTATATTCTGTAGGTTTTTCTGAAATGAAGAAAAATAATTGAAAAGACAACTATTAGAAACATCTCTGACCTCAAATTAAACAATGACAAAATTACACATTTTACTGTTCGATTCGTATCCGTAATGTTACAAATCCAAGTAATGCAAATATTATACGACGGCCCTGCTTCTGCTTAATGCCTGCATAAATGTCCCAAAGTCTTATTTCACAATATTAAGCATTAACATCCAATTTTTTTTTTTCAATGTTTCAAAAATGTTTTTTTCTTGCAAATGCAAATGTAAAGGGAACATTCTGTTTTATAATTTTGCAAACATTTTAGCTAAATTATGCTGAGCAACGGTAAATATGACTAGAGCTTAACCAGTTAAAAACTTGAAGCATGCAGTCTTATGCACGAAATGGCAAAATCTCTATCAGTACACTTTACACCCCCCACTCCTATTTCAATCTCACCTGTTGAGCTCTTGTTCGCAGGAGACGCCTCCACGGCACCATGAGCTGTTAGGCCATTGGAAGTCACTGTTGGCTCCAGAGGAACTTGACCTGGCAGCGGAGGACACATCATCTCTTGGAGGCTGTCGGACCTGGACAAACTCCAGTTGCCACAACTGTCCTGTCCACTTGGGCCGTCCGATCCGTCGCCACTCCACCTCCACTCAACGATGTACGTCCCTCTGCTGCTAAGACTCGATTCTCCGGCTCTCTGACTGGATCTGGAGCGGCCTGACACTGGAATATTTCAAACATCAAAAAGAGTTTTTAAAAAAAATATATATATAAATAATCAATGTCAGTGGTCACTTATAAGTATATTGTTATAATAGAAGTGGACGCACATCCACCATCTGGGCTTTGCTGGCTGCCGCTCTGCCTCTCCCTCTTCCTGTGATCCTGACCTGTGAACACAGAACCAGAAAACTCAGAAGACAGAGGAGCTAAATCATCAGAACTGAGTCTCCAAACCTCCAGACCAGCCGTCTGAGTGGAAGCAGCTCTCCTGGATCTGGAGCGGCCTGAGGCTGGAATATTTCAGACATCACATAGTTAGTAATGTTTTGATAATAATCAATGTTCAATGTCAGTGGTCAATTACAAATTGTTACTACAGTTACTCAAAATTGAAAGCTTTATTTCACAACATGCAAGGAATCAAATACACGTGATCACTTAGCTGTGAAAATTGGCAGATCAAATGGGTTATCTCGCACAAGTTTCTGCACATTAATTTAGTCCATCATCATACCATAACATACTAAACAAATGAAAAACTAGAGCACTCACCTGCTCTTCCACTCTTGTGAGCCATCAACGTCCTCCTCCAACCTGCAATAGAAACAATACAAAATACAATACAAAAAAATAATACAGTACAACCCTCCTCAGAAATATTACCAAAATAAATAAATAAATAAAAATAATAAATAAATAAAACAAAAACAATAAATTTAAATACAAAATTGAATAAAACTACAAACTCCTAGTTTAACTCCCAGATAATAACAATTAACGTTAGATAAAAGCGTCCTCAGAAATAAGATGAATGTGGAAAAAAAAAGGAAAGGATCCTCCGATCTACTCCTCCTAGAATATAATCAGTTTTCTCTCAGGAATTCTCCGAATAGCTTCAAAATCGCAAGATCTGCACAGAAAATACTCGGCAAAAGTCTCTGAATTCGCCTCGTCTCTCGAGCAACAGATAGCGGTGTTTGAGTGTATACATTTGATTTTGAAATCAGAATTCATAACACGCGTCACCATAGCAACTAAAATTCGAATCAACGCATGCACACCTGTAAGTAACAGCGGCATACATTAATCTGCATACTTATATTTGCCAAAATGTTAGTCATCAAAACAAATAAAACATGAATACAAAAGATGAAGTATTTGCATGCTGATGCATTTGCAATGACGTTTATAGAAGCGGGGGAGAAGTCGTGTGTGGCTTACTCAGCGTATTTACGGTAACAGACGTCCCCGTTTTCCGGGGACACAGGCCCGGTTTTGGGTGTTTTACAGCCCAGTTTTACAGCTCGTTTAAAACAACCCGCAAATACATTGCAAAAGAGCCCGACCAACAGATGGCGTTGCGAGCTTGGTCGCGCGCGCGCCGCTACTTCATGAAGAACGTGACCTGGGACCATGGGACCTGGACGCGAGCAGAACGCCATTATCGTCATATCGCTTTCAAGGTAGTAACATACTAACTATTCATGTTAAATTAAAGTAATACTGTTTGTATGTGCTTTACAACAGGGCCTTAACAGGGTGCGTGATTGTTTTCCACAATTTTAAACGACCCCAAAAGTTCCCACAACCCAGTAATTCCCAAAAAAACTAAACAACACTGGCAACAAATACATTTGCAGAATACACATATCTGCTTAAAATAAGCCTAACATGCAAAAATAACAAGCCCAATTAAGGATAGTTAAAGTAATTTTCAAGCACAAACGTAACAAAACATTTGAAGTTAAACCAGTTGTATTCAGGCTAACAGCTTGTGAAAATGAAAATATTAAATACAATTATAACATAGTTAAAATATTAATTAAATAGTTTTATTTATCATATCATAGCCTATTTCTGTTGTTTTATTTTTGTAGTGTGTTTTTGTAAAGTCATAATTTTGTTATAATATTGTTTTGAACTGCTTGCAATTTTACAATGGTTATGAACTGTTTTCATTGTGTGATTTTTTTTTCTTTTCTTTTTTTTTCTGGTGCAGTGAATTGTACCAAAACCAGACCAAAAATCCTAGTAATCAAACTAAATCATAATAATTATTTTATCCAAGTTGTCCTAAACATGCTTCATAAGTGTTTCAAACAAAAGCGTTTTCCCGTGACTTGCCCCCTAGTGCTTTGACAACTCATTGAAAAAAAAAAATTGTCATATCCTTATCTGTAAAAAATAGAAAGTCACCGCGAGAATTTTCAGTAACATATTCAAGCGTCGTGTTAAAGAGGTGGTAATGCCCTTTTCACAAGATGTAAAATACGTTTTTTGATGTCCCCAGAGTGTGTATGTGAAGTTTTAGCTCAAAATACCCCACAGATATTTTTATATATCATGTTAAAATTGTCACCTTTTGATGGTGAGCAAAAACGCACCGTTTTTGTGTCTGTCCCTTTAAATGCAAATGAGCTTCTGCTTCCGGCACAGAGGGTGGAGCTTACACCACACAGACATGCACTGAAAAAATCAAACACTTTTAGCCTTTTATGTTCAAACCGGAGTCAGACAAAGATGGAGAGACTCAAGAACCAGTGTCAAAATGTAGACAACATTTCTGAATGGTTAGTTGATGAATTTATGTAGCTTATGTGTAGTTATCTTCTAGTCATTGATTAGTAGCTATATTTTGTCATGATAATCTAGAAATCGTGTTCCCGGGGGCGGGGTTAATGTAAATTTTAGGGTTGTTGATGTCACTAACCCGGGAGGATAGCCTGACTTCGTCATACTCATATTCTAGTCAGAATGTGAGTCTGATACTGCTTCATAGGGCTTTGATTATGAGGCGTGTCTTAACCATAGACAGTAAAAGAAATGGACAGAGCGATCTCATTGGAACTCAGTTGAGACAGTTGAAGCCCACTTTTGGCGATTTTTGAGAACTTCCGTTCCTGACGCGCAGACTCAAACCGACTCAAACTAAGCTTGATGACGTGAGCAACCTGTCTGACAGACGTTAATCTTCTAGTAGCTGTGCGTGAAAACTGCCAACGTTAATCTTGCAGAGACGGGGAACTTGAGCAAAGAGTTCTTTGGCGTGAGTGAGCAGGAGTAAGTATTCCGTTGCTTTTATGGACTCATTATCTATGGGCTTCTCCCTTGACGGGACGTCCCCCCGATTGCCTGCGAGCTTCTCCTCCTGTCTGTACGGTAATTTCTGTACAGCGCGACAGAGAGTCGAGTGGTTATGACGCAATCGTTAGCCTATTTTTACTAAATCTGTTTCTACGGGGCCATAATGTAACATAGAAGGTAATGGAGCCCTTTATACATTGTCGTGTTTCTTTAGAAATAAATAATGGACAAATGGAGTCTTTAAACGCCTCAGATGTAAAGTTATTCGCTGTCAAAGTGACGCAAAAATCAATGGGAGTCAATGGAAATGCTAACGCAAGTGAAGTTCTGCTACAACATGGCGGCACCCGGCCGGCTTCAACTTCCGGTCGATGGATTACCCCCTTGGTCTTAACCGAACCAGGGAAAAAAAACTCTGCACTCAATTGGATAGACCTACAACCAATGAGAGCAACGCAGTAAGTCAACTACTTTGCATAGCACAGTTGTCAACTACAGAACTCAAATGCACGCACGCTGGAAGAAGTAAAATAACGAGTGTTGCTTCTTTTACTTGGTCCTCTATGAGTGCAACCAAAGGAGAAACCACAACGACCACGGGGTTTTCATTGCGTCCCATCTTCTTAGTGACCATCGGAGCCAGCTGATAAATTAAACTTTTGCCGAAGCCCGTAGGAAGGACGGCAAACACATCTTTCCGATCGACAAATGCCTTGATTGCAGTTCTATGTTCGTCTTTTAAAATGAATGCGCTGTCGATTTCTTTTACAACGGACGCGATAGCGGAATCTCTACATCTCAGTTCTCCAGCGGCAGTCATCTGTGAGGGAAACCAGTTCAACCCAAGCGCTCTTTGATAACGTGAGGGGGTGCTTCTCATTTCTTATTTGTGCATCCTCGTTTCCTTTCCTCGCTTCCTTTCCTCGCGTCTCAGCTCCACCCCCTGTAGGACGCGAGGGAAGGCTGCAAGGAAAAAAAATGAGGACGGAGGAATTGAATGAAAGCTTTTTTATACATTGGAATACTTGATCACTCGCGCATCACTCCACTGCGTCATCAGCAGTGCTCAAAGGATCTGCCCTTATGTTGTTAAAGTTTGTTTATTTAAGAAATTCATAATAAATAATAATAAAGCAAGATACCTAGTTGAAATATGTGAGTTGTGTGGTTTATGTAAAATACAAAAGTAAAGTATAAATTCAAATGATTGTGACAGACGTGAAGGGGGAGGAGAATTGATACGTGCGTCACGTTAAGTCGATAAAACTCTTCCGCAAAGGGTACACCTGTGTATCCTCGCTCATAGCTCCTCTGGAAGCCTCGTCGCTCCTCGATCCTCGCCTCCTCGCGGTGCAATTAGAGAATTGAGATGTCCTTCAAGATGGCTGAGCTCGATTGGTTTCCGGGTCATAGGATGGAGGACGGAGGAGCGAGGAGACGAGGAGGGACATTGAGAAGCACCCAGGATTACGTCCCTGCAGATCATCTGTCCATCATCGTATAAAGCCCGCCCTGGCAATTTGATTGGCCCAACGATTTCTGAACCGATCATAATTACTCCTCAATGGAGCGAGTCCAGACCGAACTTCCCGATCAAAAAATGTTGTGGGCGGGGTTCGGGCTGGCATCCAGGCTACCGGGAGGAATGTCATGTAGTCCCTATACCAGTCATTTCTAGTCCTTAAAAATGAAAGTCCTTTCTTTAAAATAAAATATCTCCCTTTGCTTTGAACTTTGAGCGTTGCAACTTTGCAGATGTTGTTTATGCTCAAACAGCAACATTACACACTAACTAAAGTTAGAAAAGTGAAATCGGTAACGATTTAGATTACAGCCCGTAAAGTACTGTGTAATTAAGAGGAATTTACAGTGTAACTTTCTGTAATTATAGTGTACCTATAAAGTACTTGCATGTAAGTATAAGGGAACAATATGTAAATTTTGGGGAATAAAGGGGTAACAACCAGGATAATTAAAAAAATATTTATACTGTAAGTATTATAGAACTAAGGGGTACTTATTCTACTATTATGATACAACAATCTTACATTTGGGAGCAATTTAGCGAGAACATACACTGCGTAGCTTTTTGTAATAATGGTGCAGCCTACCAATACATACTGTATAGGCTTTTAAAAAATGACAGGGTACATATCTATGCATTTATAAAAAAAAAAATAAAAAAAAATTGATAGCAAAAGTGCAGATGTTTAAGTTTGGGCTAACATGTTTCAAGGCAAGAAAAGCTAAGACTATTGCAATTTTTTTTAAATACTGGG